CCCCAAAACCCCAAAACCCCTTATGTCAAAATTAACTTTAAAATATAGATGTTTAAAGTATTTTTTGTGAAATAAATTAAATATATAAATTCGAAAATTCAGTAAAGTTATATCTAATTTTTTCTGTAAATACTTTATGATGCAAAACTATTACTTTTCTTTTCTAAAAAAATTCAAAAGGATTGATTAGTATGGACATAAAATCAGATTACTATATAAAGGCTCAGAATCAAAGAAAACAGTTTTAGGAGCTATATTCACTTTGATATCAATTGTTCTTATACTACTTTATGCAGGTTTTCAGCTTAACGACATCTTTTAAAATAAGAGTACAATTAAATCAATAATAAGCTATGATGACGTCTCAAGTTAAAGGATTCCTATTAGTTAATAGATGTTTGACTGGGCATTTGCTTTAGAGCATCCCTCGGATTGGAAGGAGTAAAATAAATCAGTAAATATTTACTAATATTTCAGAATATATGCTGCAATATCAACACCCACAGGAGAAGATATATGATTAGAACTGATTAAATGCGATAAAAGCAGGTTATTAAATTCCCAATCATTCCAAGTTGAGCTGGATGAACTAACTTAAAACAATGTAGAATTATACTGCATGAAGAGTTAAATTCCTATTGACTTCATTGGGTCTTTGTAGCATCTATCACTCTATTTAAGTCCTTGTGATTAGGAACTTCTTGAATAAAAGTACAAAGGCTCAGTTTGTTCGAACGATACTGAGAAAATTTAATATGCAGTAACGAATTCCTTTCTAAGGGTTATATATACTAATAGATTCTTTGATGTCGAAGATTTTTCGGAAAACCCTGTCAAGACAACAACTGAGTCTGCAAATTTTGGTATAAATAGATCTACAATGAGATTATAGACTTATGCAATGAATAGAAACTTTGCATTTGGATCAAACTCTATCATTCACGAATCTTTAGGATAATTCTAATATGAGTTCATCTAAACAGAAGTTGAATCACTTACTACCATCGAAAGATTAAATACCAATAATTACATAATATTAAGATTTATATTAAGAAACAAGGTAAATAGGATAGAGAGACAGCGAAATAATTTTTTAGAGTTACTGTCAGCTACAGGAGGGCTTTTAGGTTTGCTGACTGGTTTTGTGAGACTAATTATATATTCTTTCTAAGAATTTTTTTTCACATAAAGCATTTTAAAACAAAGATATTTAGTAGACAAGAATGCCTTAGTTAAAACTGAAAACTCTTTTAGAGGAGTAGTTTAATTAGAATAAAATACTATTTAAGATAATTCGATTATTGGAATGGTGAAAAAACTTTAATAAAGGCAACCTTTTTATTTTTCAACAAAAGAGGCGATACTTAGCATATTTTGAGGATTGTTTTGCTTAAAATAAACATAGAAGCAGTATAGATTTTAACTATTTAACTTTGGGAGAAATTAAGTTAATAAAGCATTGGATATTTCATATCTTATTAAGTAATAGAAGGACCTAAAAATAATGAAAAAAATATTACTGAAGAAATTTTAGAGAAAGTTAATACCATACTTCCATTAGAATCTTTTAACCTATGCTTATGCAAAGAAATTTGGGAAAAAACTTGAGAGAAGTAATAATTTAATAGATAGAAAAAGAGAAAGCGAAATTGAGCTAGGAGTTTATGCAATTATGGTAGAGCTTTCTGCTAATTATACGCAGAGCAAAAATTGTTTCAATAAAGCTGTTTTAGATGAGCTTCATCACTAATATTATTTTAATCCTTAGTAAAATCACTTGAAACTTATAAAACTTCAGTAGAATATTCTAGTTGGGATCTTAAGAAGATTTGTGATTTAAAACTTGCTCTGCAATTAATAAAATAATCAATAAACAAAAGATGAAATTCCCGAATAAATAAAAATTGAATAAGAATAAGAAAATAAATTAATTACTTATGCTTCTGATCAAAAGATAATTTCATTGTAAAACAGTAATCTATCAGATTAAACTAACTTAAAGATAAATCAGCATAGTTTCAGAATTAAGAATAAGTCAGTTCTCCAAAGTCAAATTTACAAAAAAGGATCTTCTATGTAAAATGAGATTAGGCCTTATAATAGAAACTAAACATCAATATTTTAAGATAAAGAATCTTTTGATGTCAGTAATGAATCCTATCGAGGAAACGAATTAAAAATTAGTTCAATTTCATTTGATTCTGAGCATAACTTGGATTGATTTTATTAAAGACGAATAGATTGATTTTTTTTATTTTAAAATGACTTTAATTGATACATTCTCTCCTCATGGGGTTTTGGGGTTTTGGGGTTTTGGGG